TATCTAAAATTTATTTAAACATCTTTGGAAGCTCTGGGTTGTAAGACCGTCGCAGGATGTTGCGGGTCGTGCGGTTTTGTGGAAAAGCGGCCAGTATCAACATCCCAATGCCCAAGGGTTGATGCGAAACTACTTGTCGCATGTTTGTCCTGCTTCACTGCACGGCACGTTGGCGTCAGTTACTCATCATCACAAACGCGTGATTTATCGTCGCCGTTGTCGAAAGACTTGTTTTCGTGGCCTTGGCAGCCGCTTGGCTTTGAATGAAGACAGCATAGGCATAGGTTGACGGAAGCGAAGAGGCGCACAGGCGCGTCAAGGGGTGGGAATGCCAATGTGGGGATTTTGTGTGCTGATGGCATCCTTCTCTGCAAGCATGTTGATGCCAAGGCGCTCAGTCTTCTTCTTGAGGCTTACTATTGCCATGTCAGTTTGATGTAAAACCGACAGAGGCATGGGTTCTTGCAAACAGAATTGCAACAACAAGGGTTTTTCATGTTCTGCAGGTGTGTGTGTGTGTGTGCAATATTGACCTTCGCATGTGCAACAACGTTTCGGAGCGTGCCCATGGGGATTCATGGCTTGCTGCCGTTCTTGAAGCCCTACGTCAAGAAGGTCCATGTCGATGACTTCAAAGGGAAACCAGTCGGAGTGGATGCCATGTGTTGGATGCACAAAGGAGCTTTTGCTTGCTCACGGGAGCTGGTTGAAGGCGCTGACACCGACAAGTTCGTCCGCTTCTTCCTGCGCATGTGCGAGGTGCTGCGCTGCTCCCAGATCAAGCCCATCATCGTCTTTGACGGGGACAGATTACCAGCCAAGGCGAAAGAGGAGGAGAATCGCGGAAAAAATCGTGAGAAGGCCCGTCTTGAAGCTCTTGAACTCTTGGACCGCCAGAGGTCCGGACATGAGGTGGATGAGAAAGAGATCTCTTCCAAGTGTGAGGGTGCTATCAAGGTGACCCCTTCGATGATATCCAGGCTTCAAAGTGCCTTGAGAGAGTTGTCCATTGACTTCATGATCGCACCCTACGAAGCTGATGCGCAGCTGGCTTACATGTGCAGGATGGGTTGGATCGATGTTGCTATATCTGAAGACAGCGACTTGCTTGCTTATGGCTGTCCTAGCATCCTCTTCAAGATGGACAAGCACGGCAATGGCGACCATATCGCACTTCCTTGCCTCCAAGTGGATGCTTCTCCACCTCCTCCCGAACAGAAGCAGCCTAACAAAGAGAACACTCCGCCAGATCAGAGACAGTCTAAGGGCGGCAAGCAGAAACGGCTGAAGCCTGGGCACAAGGCGAAGAAGGCACCAAGAGGAAGGAAGACTACCGACGAGGCTCACGAGGCACGGCCGGTGGATGCCGTCACTGAGAATGACTCAGATTTGGTCGGCCACGGTTCCAAGGTCAGGCGAGGAGCTAAGGCAAAGAGTGACGCCGACAAGGTTGCCATCACCAAGGACATTCAGTCTTGCCTTGACCGTTGGTCACCAGAGCAGTTCGCAGAATTTTGCGTGTTCTGTGGTACTGACTACAAAGAGCCAGAAACACATATCAAAAACTTCGGTATCAAAACTGCCTTTCAGTTCATGAAACGGTATGGGAGCACTCATGAACTCTTGAAGTGGATGATCAGCGACAAGACGTTTCAGCAGCGCTTGCCATGCGATGCAGAAGAGTATATTCCACGCTTTTCCTCCGTGGTGTGCGTATTTTGGCATCACCTAGTATTCAATTTGAGAAGTGGTGAATGCACTTCGATTGCCACATCGTTTCCTTTAACTGAGTCTCGCAGGCGTTGCTCCAACCTGGACCCCACATCAGTTTGTGGTCAGGCTTTCTCCAAGCAGGAGGCAATCCGTGTTGCAAAAGGTGATCTCGACCCACGGACAAGGGCCGTCAAGAAGCTGGAGCCCTTGACTCCAGCGGAGCGCGCTGCAATCGACAGCCTGCTCGAGTTTAAACGTAGAGAGCAGCGAGAGTACCGTCAGCAGTGTGCAGAAGAACAGGCCGAGCTCAGGCGGACTGAAGCTGAAGCCGCGGCTTTAGAGGCCGCACAAGAAGAGGTACCGACAAATTGTGTTGATGATGTTCCGTCTCAGGAGGCCAGAACAGAGCAAAGGAAAGAAATCAGGTTATTAGCAGGAGACTTCAAGAAGATCCAGCACTTCGTGGAATCCCTTTCAGATGACGTTCAAGACACCGGCCAGTCGGCTTTTGAACCGGTCCTTGCAGAGGAAATTGAGGGTCTGCCGAGGTCAAGCAACCCTTTTTCACGAAAACGCCCTGTGCAAAGCACGAACAGCAGCTTGGGCAGGGCGATTCCTGCATCAAAAGGCCTTCGCCTTCGACCAGTGTGCAGCGTGGCACCGACAAAGGCGGCGGTGCCAGCTGCACAGGATGAGGGTATCAAGTTGAAGAAGCCTGATTACCGTCCCAGAGGCGGTGGTGGAGCCAGCGCTGCTGTGGAGGCTGTGTTGGCCCAGCAAGGGATGCCCAGTCTGACGACAGATGAAGCCAAGGATAGGTCCAAGCTCGGTTTCTTCTTCGGCCAGGGTCCCAAGGCCACGGCACAGGCTGTGCAAAGCGACTCACCTGCGGGGAAGGTCGACAGGCTCTCTTCCTGGAAGTCCCGGCCATGGGAGACCGAGCCTGAGGTTCTTGAGAACGTCCTTCGGGTCAACGTCCTGTCCATGAGGAACCGACGATTTATGTCCTGCTTCGCAGCTGGCCGATAGCCTGGGACCTTACAAGCTCTGTGAAGGTGTCCGTGCGTTCTTGTACAGCCCACCCTGCTCCCCACCTTCACGATCTGACTGAGACGGTCGGTTCGCACTTCCATAGTTCTTTATCCGTAAAGGTTTCAGTTTGCAAAAACTGAGCTGGGTGCGACAGCATTGAGCTGTTCGGCATGCTGGGGAAAGCATGCGGCTCGCAAAAAGTTCCTGCAACGCGTCTTGACCTGCTTTATCGTGCATTTGGAACTTGGGTTTTCGCAAGCTGTTGTGATCGTTTCATTGCCGTGTCCCTGGTGGCCCCGGAAAGGCAGATGACCTCATGGTGGCTTCTCTGCATCAGCTCAAAGCCAGAGCTTTTTGTATCATCTAAATGAAACTAAGTTGGTTTGTTTGTTGATTGATTGGGGAGTTTTCGCCAAGTTCCTCTTCCAGGTTGCGTGTCTTGGACTCAGACGATGTCTCCGCGCGGTTCTTGCCTTCTGACTTTCTCAGTTTCTTCACGGTTGATTGTGATTTCAACTGACTCCATTTGTGCCTGCTCCAGGCCGGCGTGCAAGGATTGGGATTGCGCTGCAGTGGTGGACTGGCTACAGGATGAAGGTCTCAGAGAGGCGGCATTCATGGTGGAAGCCATGAACATAGATCTCTCTATGCTTCTGTGTGCTAAAGAGAGCCGGGTTTCTGCTGTTTTTTGTAACTTGTGAGACATGTGCGGAGTAGAAGTGTGAGTGCAAGCAATGAGGCCAACAGCTGAAACTGCATCTTAGGTTGCAATCTTTGGATATGGAGGGCTACAGGACTGTACTGCTTCTTGGTTGCATGTGTGTACCACGAGGCAAATTTGTCCACAAGATCTTTGCTTTGACTGACCGGTCCTAGGCAGATGTCAAACGCAGATGAGAGACAGATGTTGGCGTGGCTTCTGCAGGCCAAGGTGGCCCCCAAGCGAGGAATTACAGTAGGGTCATATCTGGTGGACTTCAAGACTTGGACGTGGTGGTTTCAGAAATGGTCCCAATTCTGACGCCTTCCAAGGATTCGCTCCCTTTTTCATTGCCCGCATCTCCATGTGACGTGCCAGCTTCGATCTCGCGTTCTCATGTCCACGTAGCGCTGGACAGCCGGAACATTGCCAAGTGTGGCTTCAGTCTGGATCTTCCGCGCCTCCCCGACAACCAGCAGCTGGCTCGAGCCTTCGAGTTCTTCGTGTCGCATCAGCCGCTGGAAACTGTCTGGCTCTTCCTTTACCGTGATCTTGCCGAGAAGTGGAGGGCGTGTCAACCTCTTGCGAAATACAGTCAGCAGTGGGTGGTTACCCCGACCGGGGAAGATGTGGATGTATTCTTGATCAATTTCGTGGAGAAGAGAGAGCGGGAGGGCGATGCGGCCGTCATCGTCTCGAACGACTTGTTTCGAAATCATGTGAGGCAAGGTGTGAAGTTCCCACGACATTCTTCTGAGGGTCAGGTGGCTCGTAGAGAGGCCGTTCACACTCTGCCTCAGTCCTGTGGACACGGCGGGGGGGGGGGGGGCGTTGCACAGAAGCAACCTTTTGGAAGGTCTTCTCGCATCACGGATACCTGGGTGCGCCAGCATACCCTCAAGTTTACCTTCACCCAGTCGGGCGACTTCCTGTGTCCGTTGTACACGTCATTGTCTCAGCGCTGGCATAGACCGTCAGCGCATGAATGTGCTCCGTTTCTTGCACCAGCCATCTGACGCTGCAGATGCGAAGTTGGGCGCTTGAGGCCTGCGGCAAACAGGGAACCAACGCTGCCAAGTACACAGACAACCGCTTCTTCATGCCACGTCGTGACTCACCTGCATTACAAAGAGATTTCAGAAGTACTGTAGAGGAAGCCACTGTCCGAGGTGCGGCCAAGCTTTGGGTGCACATCGCGCAGCCGACGGGGTCGGGTGCAAAATGCATTTGTCACGCAGCTGCGCAAGTCAGGATTTCTGTTTGGTTCTAGGACCGGCAGCATGTGATGCATGTGTTCACAATGCTGAAATAGATGAAATGAAGGCCGAAGTGAGACGCACACGAGCTGCTCACAAGCTTTCGATGTTAAGGGTGTCTCGGCATCGCAGGTTGCAGTTCTTTGGGCATCTGCAGACAATGCCACAACCTCTCAGCTCATTCGGGATGCCTTGGTCCTTGGCCACTCCTTGAAGAAGTTCGGCGGCGAAGGCAGCGACTGCGTGCTCCTCGTCACAGAGCAGATTTCCCGCCACGATGCGGCGAACTGCTTGGCAAGATTCTGGAAGCTCCGGGAGATTCAACCGGTGGAGGTTGCATCCCAGCTTATCAGCGGGTGCCGACCCAGATTTGCAGGAGTCTTCAACAAGCTTCGTGTCCTGGAGCTGGAGGAGTACCGGAAGGCAGGTCGAAGCCTTCGACTGCTGCTGTGCCTGATGGTTTACATGGGCCTGGCGCATCTAGCCATAAGTTTCGCTGGAATGGGCGATGTGTACCTGCATCAATCATGATCATGCGTTTCGGAGGTGATTCTTCTTGACCTCGACCTGTTGATCCGCTCAAACTGCGAAGAGCTTTTCTCTTTCCAGGAATTCGCGCAAGAGTCCTTGCATGAATTGCCGACCATCTTGATGGGGTTGCCCTGACGAAGGCACCAGCTGCTTTGTTTCGCGGCAACAACACCTGGACCTTGGGCGCCCCAAGAAGAGCGAAACTTGATCTGACTCAGAATTGTGTTTCGAGACGACAACTCTTGGAGATCGTTTCATCCGCATGTCCGGCACTGAGCTTTGTCTCCCAGCCTCAGGGAGTCCTTCTTTGATCGCAATTCGGGCTTGCAGAAGGGTGGCATCAATGCCGGAGTTGTGATCCTGGAGCCGAGCAAGGCAACATTCCGCAAGATGCAGGAGCTTCGGACAGAGCTGCTGGTCACTGGTTGGGGCAGCTGGAGTCTGGGTCTATTTGGTTTTGGTGACAGGAGAAACTTCGAGAACCAGACTGCGGCTCAGAAAACCAAAGCACCATGCCGGAGCAGGACTTCCTTACCCTATGGTTTGCAAAGCAGTGGAGGCTCTCTCTTTTGCTCTCCTGTCTATGTAGACATGTCCTCTGAGCTCGTTTAGCCATTCGAGTGATTGTGACAGGCCCTTGCCTGTGAAGTATAATTATCAGCTCCATCAGCTTGCCTTCTTACCAAGAGACCAAGCTGCAGATGCGACCGCTTGTCAGTTTTTGACACCCGAAACACGGGGCATGATTGTGTAACTGTCCATTATGCACTGCAGCATGCATGCCTTACTGGCTTGCTGAGGAGATGGGGGAGATTACCCACGTGGACGATTAGATGCGAATGATGTGATAATTTGGCATTTCTCAGCTGAACACAAGCCCAGCCATTTCACCGATGGCAGCAACACAAGCTGGTTGGAGGACATCTGTGCCTGGCAGACCATGCAGGGCAACAGCCTCGGTTCTGAGCTTGTCTACGTCGGCATTTCTGAGGAGTATCCCGCGATGGTGCTGCCCATGGGTTGTGAGGGGTTTCATGACATCGTCAAGAAGGCAGCTTCCGAATGGCAATGTGCGTGGCAGGAGTCTGGTGCCGGGTCAAGATAGTGGAATTGAGAAGCTTCAGACGTTTTACTGGTTGATACACCTCTGTCGGTGAGTGTGGCAGGAGGTTGTGCAGTCGCTCGGCATGAGCTCGCTGTCTGCTTTATTGCCGAACTGTAAGGCCGGGGTGTCGTCGAAACTTGAGATCATTTTCTCTGGAATCTGTGCACGATCTTGCAAGACATGCAAGTGTGACAGCAAGTCTCAAGTGCTGGTAGGCCGATGGTTGCACACCTGCGCAGTCGGGTGTGTCAGCAACTCGAGAAGACGCAGCGGATAATTCAGTTGGCAGTACCTCTCGGGAGGCACGGCACACTGAGACATGTTGTGTTGATGGCCGCTGTGCAAATCAATCAGGAGCAACTTGATGAGTTGGATGCCATCCGGAAGATTCACGCTGATCGCTACAGCCAGCACCAGGCGGTGCTGACTATCCCCACGCATCTTGTCGTCGACATTTACTCAGCAGTGCTGCCTACATGTGGTTGAGGTGACGGGATCACCCGAGCTGCTTTCCAAGGTCAAGGTAGGACTAATTCAAGCTGTTCTCGTGAGGCCATTGAAGACAATCTCGGCGGGTCCAAGCGACCACGGCGAAGCAACCGCCGTCCGAACGTCTCCCTCAGCTACACAGGCTCACGCAAGCCCGGCACAGCCGACGGATGCCGCAGAGAAGGACGACATGTTTCATCGACTTCAGTTCTGGCCCTGCAGGCTTGCCTGGAGGAGCATAGCTTGGCATGCCCAGACGGCCCCGTGGATCGTGCGGTGCTCTGTGAGCTTGTCGGGAGCTTGATCGAAAGGCGAGAAGTGAAGGACGTAAAGACTACGACGACGACGACGAAGAGTGTGGCACCAATGCACACAGGGACGGAGAGACCTCCAGCTCCACGCGACCCTTGGCGAGCCCCTCCTCGAGACAGTAATGCCTGGACAATGGTGGATGATGCAGCCGGGGAGGTGCTTCGCTGTATCGCTGAACATTCCGTGACCCTCCTCGTTGCCCCGACAGGCGGCCTGAAGTGATGCATCCCTGGTGATTAGCTCATCATCCTGTCTTTAGATCTTTGATGTTGAGATTGTACTGTTTCAGCAGGTTCGGGCAAGTCCACCGGGGTGCCACGGCTGCTGCTTGAAAGTGCAGACCGTCACCGTGTCTTATGTCGGTAGCTTATCTGTCCAGCACCAGTTGCACCAGTGTTGCAGCAATCTGCATCTGTGCTAGACGAGATCAGGCACGCAGCCTCGGAGGGTCGCCACTGCGAGCCTGGCGAAGCTGTTAGCCGACTACACGGCCTCCGAGGCCTTCAGAGCGAGAGCGACGAGAGCGAAGGGAGCGAAGGGAGCGAAGGGAGCGAGCTCAGGTCGGTGAGCTCGTGGGCTTTCAGGTCGGAGGGCACCGGAAATGGAGCGAGCAGAGGGCTCCTCAGAGGTTTCCGCTGGGTCCCCGAGCGGTCGAGTATCTGCCTGGTAAGGACGCAGCTGGTTTATGTCACGACGGCCATTGCGATGCTGATGTGCCTGCAAGGTAGCCTTCCAGCCACACACATCATAGTAGATGAAGTGCACGTCCGTCACTCGGCCTGCGCTGTGTTTAGTAGTGTGGCATAAAAACCTAAGCTTGGAAAGACTAGAACGCTTTCCACTTCTCGTCTGTATTCACCCCAGTGCCAAGGAGATGTGCACATCGACGCCCTGCTGAATATCTTGAAGGGCGATGTGTTGCCTCAAGACGCCACCAAAAAGGCCCCCAATGCACTAGCGTGATTTGTCACATGTCCTTGCAGTGTCGAGAAGAGGACGCTCGACAACATCGCGTGGCACTCTGTGTGTAAGATGTGTGTGTCCGTGTCGCAGTTATTTACTCCCACCTGCACGTAACACGATCGATCACTGTATGGCGGATGTGGAACAGGTGAATACCATGTCTAGGTCCTTGAACAAGACTGATCAGGCAGCAGTGTGTTAGTCGTTCGCAGGTTTGATTTCCTGCTTGCTTGCTCTGTGCCTGCTTGCTTGCTCTGTGTTCTCTTTTGCTTGTATAGCTGTTTGACAGACTGCAGGTCATACTGATGTCGGCAGCGACTGATGTGCCATTTCTCCAGCATTATTTCCAGAACTCCTCGCTTGGCTTCATCGATTTGGAAAGAGGGCGAAAGCATGGACTGACGCTTTCCTATGCAGATGGATCCTTCCTGCGCAGTCTGACCGTGGCAGGGTCCTTAGAAGACGTAGAAGCTTTGTGCAACTGACGTAGACGGGGCACATCTAGCAGTACGTTTCCGTACAGCATCAAGCCGTGTCGAGGACATGTGTCCGGAGAAAATGGCTGAAGCACTCGAGCTGGTCCTTCAGCAGCATCACGTGCTACGAGACTTCCAGCAATCTTTCTTGGAAACGGCCTCAGCATTGAAGAGTGCAGCAGCACTGGTATGCACTAGTGGATTTTGCATGTTCTGTCTCCCGCTCCAGCTTTACCGCCGTGCTAGCGCTTGCTAGCGCACTCCTGTTCCAGGTTTTCCTTCCTGGCCGCCAAGAGGTGCACGCACTAGCAGATCGGCTCACGGCCGTGACAAACATGGAGGTCCAACGGCTCTTTGGCGGCCAGGCCACAGGAACAAGATTGTCCTCACAATATCATGTTAGGGATACTTGCCGTGCTTTGATCATGCAGATACTTGGAGGCACTGCACTTGCAGCAAAGGGCTCTTCGTTCTCGCGCGAATGGATCCAAGCGCTTGGTTATCCTTGCGACGGATATTGTGGAGCAGCTTGCCTGAGAGGGCTTAGAGCAGTGAGACGCTGAGACTCTTGTTTCTCAGATTCCTGATGGTCAGGTCGTCAGTAACAATTCCAACAGTGGACTTAGTCATCGACACCTGCCTTCACAGACGGCGGCGCTGGCATCCTTTGCTGAAGGAGAGCCCGCTGACCCTCGAATTCATCAGCCAGGATGAGGCAGCTTGGAGGCAGTTTAGAGGCTAAGGCTGCTAAGCGAGCAGCATTGCCCGAATCTGCACGGTGTGTCAGGCTTTGCAGCGAAGTGGCCGCACGGCGAGGCTTCGTGATGGCCATGCATTCCGATGCATGACGGAGATGGAATTCGGACGGCTTCAGCGGCATGCGGAGCCTGAGATACGTCATCATCCACTAGACAATTTGGTTCTGGCGGTCTACGGCTTTCGTGGCCTGTCCAGAGCTCCCGAGGACCGCCAGTCGCCAGGCTTCGCCGCAGTTCTGCACGGTTGAATAAAAGTCAGCTTTGCAGAGGATTTTCTGGCCGCCATGCCCAGCCCTCCTGATCTCGGCAGAGTTAAGTCCTCCATTTCTCGCCTGGAAGAGTTGGGCGCGCTGGGATCAGATGAAAGGCGGCTGGACTGTGTGCCTCCTCCGCGCTGAGTTGGCAGAAGAGCAACGGCTGCACATGTGGTGCAGGCTGACTGCTGTCGGGCGACTTCTCGACCAGCTGCCCCTGGATTCAGGCTGCGGCATGCCCTTTGGAGTAACCGGAATTCCACCTCAGCCTTCTCTAGCTTGTTTTGTCATTCTCTGTCCTGAGGCTGGTCATCAATGGCCTGCGGTATGATGTGCTTGTGGACTGCTGTGTTATGGCAGCCATTCTACAGCAGGGCAGCCCGTTCGAGGCTTGAGAGCATGCGCTTCGGATCGACATGGAGCGAAAGACGTCTTTTCGCCCTTGTCCAGGCTCCTGTTCTGGACGATGGCACTTGGGATATGCAGCGGGCTTTGCAGTACTGGCAAGTCCGAAATGTATGTGCAACTTGTCATGCTCAGACAGTACTATAGGGAGGGTTTAGGTTTCTATTTGAGGGTCTTCTTTCTTGCACACGGCTAGCACTCCTAGTCCAAGTTTTGTTCTCCAAGACATGGATGACATTTGACACTGAATCTTCTTTCTTGCACCCGGCTAGCACTCCTAGTCCAAGTTTTGTTGTCCGTTTCCTGATTCTGAATGCTTGAATCGAAGCCATGATACGCAGCCCAATGTTTGCACTGCCTTCGCTGAAGGCCGACTGCGATGGATATCCTTCCGACTTGCTTCAAGATCTGGGGGGCTACCGTGCTTGGTGCAGGTGGGGTCGAACACGGAACCGGAGTTGTTTTAGAAAGTCCATTGCAGGAGTGCTGGACCGCCTTTCATCATCTTGGTGTTACACTTCCATCAGTTTTCATCCTTGAACCATGGTTGGGCTTGGTCAGCAGCTAGTGGAAGGTTTCTTATCAGAATATACCGTCCACTCTGCAGCCTTTTGCCACTGGCGCTCTTGGAGAAGAGCTTACTTGCTTAGCCGTGCGCGTGGTCCGGAATGGTCACTTCTGATACTTTCGCTGCGAAGGCAAGTGCAGAGCGCCGGCGCAGCTTGGGCTATTGATCAAGGTCGTCAGTGGTGCATGCACCACTTTCTTAGCTTTGAACGCCTCCAGTCCATTGACGAGGCCGCCCGATTGCTGCAGCTTGCACTTGCCATCATGCTGCATTTGTAATGTGCGTACCTTGGAAATGCTGCAGTGGAATCGCAGGTGAAGCGGCAGATTCTTGCCATTCTCCACCAGCACGGTTATGAGGCGGGGATTTCAGCGAGGAGGCCTGAGGCGGAGATAAGTTGTTCACGTGGATGTCTGCCTGTAGCTGTAGGTTCCAGCGATGCAGAGCTTGCCGATGCAGTGCAACCAACGAAAGTGCGGTGACAGACTTTTTTCCAGTGCTCCGGAGTTTGCAGGCCGCGTCTCCGTTTGCACACTGGGGCTGTTGCTTTCCAAGAGGTCTATTGAGTCTATTGTGTGGTTGGGGCTTCCATGTTTATGGATGCAGGCGATCCTTGTACAGACTTCAAGGAACTCCTCAGTTGGGAGAACCAGGAAGCAAGTCACCGTCGCTTGCTGCAGTGGTGATTCTCGGCTGCACATCTGTTCTGCAGGCTGATCTCGGTCACAGTCTTTCTGTCTTGAGTAGGCAGCCGACATCAGCCAAGGCATAGCTGCTTCCTTTATTCATGGGATGCTGTCGATGCAGAGCTCCGCATGCACGGAGCAGGTGCTCATGCCACGGTCGAAACTGTTATTGCCCCCGCTGCTTCGGCAAACTGGCCTTGTCTACAGGTTTCTTTCATTGCTCGGCGGAACAAAAAGGACTCACAATTGCACATGTCTTTCCATTCATCGCAGTTGCATCATGTGTTCCTCGTGCTTTGTGAGAAGGAGCAAGTCGGCCCGTTTCTTGCCCAACATGGCTTCCAAATTGAGGATGTCGCGCACCTCGATTGCTTTGTCGTGGGTGAAGCTCTGCTGTTAGGATGTATAGCCTATTCTTGCCCCAGGTGAGATGCGGATGCTGCAGCCCCTTCGGTTGCTCAAGCAAGGCAAAACAAGTTAGCTTGGGCAGTGTTCTGTGTGGTTTAAGGGTTACCCGAAACCCTTGCATGGTAGCGGAGCCCTTGGTCTGAGAGGCCTTGGGTTCACCACCGGCGGGTCGCACCGCGGTGGGCACTCAGCGGGTTAGCCCCGCGGGTGCAGCGCTTCGCGGGCTAGCCCCGCAGGCGCTAGGAGGTGCGGGTTGCCCCGCCCTCCTATAGGAAGGCGGCTAGCTCCGCTCCCTGTGGCCACCACGGCGGGTGGCAGAGGAGGCAAGGGCTCTAAGAAGGGCAAGCCTCCAGAGAAGAAGAAGAAAAACAAGCGGGGGACCAGGTCGGCTGAAGCGACCACCCGCCGCGAACAGCGTGGACAGGCTAAGAGCGTGGCCTCCGCCCTTGATAGGGAGGAGGCCGAAGCGAGCGGAGACTCGGAAGCCGACGAGCCCAAAGCCAGGGCTCGTCATCGGCAGCGGCCCCGCGACGAGTGGTGTTGACATACACCCAGGCCGAGGCAAAGGCTAAAGCCAAGGCGGAGGCCCGGAAGAGGCCGATAAGGCTGGTTGAGGCCAAGGGTGTGGCCCAGCCGGAGAGGATCAAGTGGAAGAAGGAGCGCAAAAGGCGCAAGAGGAGATCCCACGCTCCAAGGGTGACCCTCAAGTCGGTTCCAAGGGAACCAGCTCCTATCCGACTTCGGTCGGCAGGCCGACCGGTCCAAAGGGCCAGGAAGAGGTCGGAGGAGCTTAAGGAGCTGCTGGAAGCAGCCAAGAAAGATTGGCCCAAGTGCAACTTCGAGGGCCGGCGCAAGATCCAGGAGATCTTGCGCACCAAGCTGCCGAGGGGCAGCATCGCCGAGTCCATTCGGCGGAAAGCAGGAGTGGACGAGGCGTGTTCCTCCTGTGACGAGAGGGTCACGAAATACCGGCCCTTGGTGAGGCGCCGTGTGTTAAAGCGCTTTTCGGGGCCAGAGCTGCGCAAGAGAGTCGAAGAAGCCCTGACCGGCAAAGAGGCCCCAGAGAAAGAAGCCGGTCAGGAAGAAGAAGAGGAAAGCCCGGTGGATCCGGGCTCGGAGCCGGACTTCGATCCACCGGCAAGCCCGGATCGAAAGCCGGCGCAGCTGTCGCAGCAGCTTGCTGAGACGATAAATGCAGTGAGGGGACTGCAAGGGAGGCTGGAAAGCCAGGAGCAGGAGCTCCAAACGTTGAAGGCCGAGAGGGCCCAAAACAGGCGGCTCACCACGGAGTCCGACCTGGAGCTCGGGCCGGTTGGGCCCCAGGCCTGGGGGGCAATGGCAGCCCCAAGCCCAGGCGGAGGCTCATAGGGGCCTGGTGGACACCCGCCAACTGGGCAAGCCAGAGAAATTCTCTGGAGAGCCGGCGGCCTTCGAGGATTGGTCGTTTGTGCTGGAGGCTTATATGTGCTGCGTGAACCGCGGCTTCCAGCCGCTCTTTGAGCGCATCCGGTACTCCGATGTGCCGGTCCTCCAGGCCAGCCTCAGCCCAGGCGAGGCGGAGCTGTCGACGCAGCTCTTTTATACCCTGGTGATGCTCCTCCAAAGCCGGGCGCTGGACATAGCCCAGAACACAGACCTCAGCAACGGCCTGGAGGTTTACAGGAAGCTGGTAAGTGAGTACCGGCCCCGGTTGGCCAGCCGCTTCGTGGGGACGCTCACCCAGCTTATGAGCCACAAATTTACGGCCAGCCTCGAGGCCGAGATCCCCTTCTTCGAGAAGCTCGTGCGAAGGTACGAGGCCGAGACCGGCAAGCAGCTTGATGATACCATCAAGCTGGGGATCATTATCAATGGCCTCCAGGACGAGTCCCTCAAGCAGCACGTGGTGAGGAACTCAGCGAGGCTCAAGACGTACCAGCTGCTCAAGGACGAGCTCTTGGAGGTGGCTCGAACAAGCCGGGTGCTGGCCGAGCAGCCGGTGCCGATGGACATGTCGGCCCTTCCAAAGTGGAAGCAGAAGCCCCCAAAAGGGGGCAAGGACAACGCTGGGAAGGAAAAAGGGAGCAAGGGCAAGGGAAAGGGCGGTAAGCAAGGTGATTCCCAAAAGCCCCAAGGTTCCCAAGGCGGTGGTCAAGGCCAAGGTAAGGGCAAGGAGGTTGTGTGTTGGTATTGTGAAAAGAAAGGCCACACAAAGGCCGAGTGTAGGAAGAAGCAAGCTGATGATAAGAAGAAGGGTTCTAAGGGAAA